GTTCAGACGTGTGCTCTTCCGATCTCCCCAAAACCCCAAAACCCCGTGATACATAAAATAATTTAAATTTGAATAAGCAAGGAAATTGAAATTTGAAATCCTTCATAAATAAATGAGTTATTGATGATATAAATAGAATAAAAATAGAGATAAAGGTAATAAAGCGAGAGACCAGTTAGAATCTCAGCATTGCCATCTTAGCTTAGTGGTAGAGCAGTCGCTTCGTAAGCGAAAGGTCGGGAGTTCAATCCTCCCAGTTGGCTAACCTTTTTTACTAGCTTGTAAATTTAACAGTAAATCTATTATATTATTATAAGAATCCAAATTTAAAATAAATATTTTAAATTTCTCAAATTAACATCGATTATATCATAGTTACTTCACATGAAATAAATTCTTCATTGGTTAGTATTAGTTCTAATGAGATTGCTATTTTTAAGCTTTTTCAATGCATCCAATGCTTTAACATTATCCCCTTCTCTCTATAAAGCTATTCTATAGTACTTCTCTGCTTTATCAAACTGCTTGAGAGTTTCATAGACTCCACCCAAGCACAAAAAGGCATCTGTGTTCTTATCATCTAATTCCAAAGCTCTATTGTAGTGAGCTACTGCTCCTGCATAGTTGGCGATATCGTTATATGCAGAGGCTAGATTGAAATGACACTCAGCACTGAATTCGTTTATCTCTAGAGCTCTAAGGTATACTTTGATTGCGTCCTAGAACTGATTAAGCATGTAATAAGCATTTCCAAGGTTATATAGTGCTGGAGCATTCTTAGGATCCAGATCTAATGCCTAATGATAAGAATTAATTGCGTTGTGGTAGTCATTTTTCACACAAAGCGCATTGCCTAAATTATAGAAAGATTCAGATTTGCGAGGATTCAAATTAATAGCTGCTCTGTAGTGGATAATAGCTTCTTCAATGTTCTCAATTAGATATAGTGCATTGCCCAAATTATAATGGACATCACTCAACTAATCATCAATGTGCAAAGCTCTCTTGTAGAATTGTATAGCCTCCTTAGGCTACGAAGAGTCGTAATAGGCATTACCCAGCCCAATCAATGCCTGGAGTTCTTTATTATTGATCACTAAAGCTTGTTTGTGGTACTTAATGGCTTCATCGGCATGACCTGTTTCAAATAATAAATTACCCATTGATACTAAAGCTAATGGGTAGAACCTGTTAATTGCAAGCGCCTTCTTAAGTTTGTCAGCACTCTTCTCATATTCTTCTCTGTCTAAGAATAGAATTCCCAACTAAGTGTAGGCTTTATAATGGTTAGGGTCTTTTTAAATTACAAGTTCGTAATGCTCGATGGGTGCATCTTTATTTTCAGAAAATTATTATAGAGTCTTGGCAAGTCCGAATCTAGCATTAATTGATTCAGGCTCTATTTTGATAGCATGCTTAAAGTACTTTGCTGCTCTTTAGCCTTCTCCGAGATTGGCAAGGAGATTAGCCAATTGAATCGATGCACCAAAATGCTTATTATCAAGAGTAAGACACTTCTTATAGTTTAGAATACACTTTTTGAACTCCTTAGCTTTTTCTAATGAAGATGCGAGGTAAAAGAAGCAACTAGGCTGAGGGGGATTTTTAGGATCTTACTCAGCGTAATATTTAATGGCTTAGGCGAAGTATTCAGATGCTTTAGTATTTTCTTCTTTCTTGTCCATCAGTTTTCCGAGTAGCATATATGCATCAGCGTTTCTAGTCTTAAGTTTCACTGCTTTTTCCAGCAATTATAATGGTTCATCAATCAATCCCTTCTCTCTGAATAACACACTCGCTAATTTGATGAAGACTTCAGAATTTGTTGGAAGCAGGTCACAGGCTTATCTGAGATGTTCTATTCCTAACTCTATATCTACCTTGCCTCTAATATAAGCCCACCCTAATCTGAAGTAAATGTTTCCTAATACGGTGCCTTGGTCTTCAAATTCAATTTACTACTTGCATTGCTATATTCCATTTTCGTATTCTTTGATACATTATGAGAATTACTTCAACTTATCGAAGCATTTAGCATTAAAAAGTGAAATTAAGTAATCTTCCTATGGTTTTATCTTATCTTAAGCTCTCTAGAAATATTCAAGAGCCTCTTGATTGAAATCCATTTTATAATTTGCTTCTCCAATCTTAATCCATATTTAAACCATCATTTCTTCAACTCCCATTAATTCAGCTTATTTGAAGTACTCCAAAGCCCTCTTATAATGCTTTTAAGTCATTTAAATTAGTCCCAGTCTAAATGTGGCTTTGCAAACCTCTTCCTAGTTCTCAAATTTCTCAATTCTGCTGAGGCATTTATCGTGACCCCAGTAAAGATAGTCATCCTCTTCTTCTTGCTTCATTGAGGAATAGCGAGAGAAGTGCTGCACATCAATGTCTAAATTATTGTTATTTCTTTAATCGTTATGTCTTTAAGAGCTCATTTGCAGTTTATTATCATCATTTTTTTCTATCGATTGTTCATCAACGTTCTCAACATCAACTAGATTATGAATGTCTTCTTGACTAATCTAATTTTACTAATCATCTTCAACTATTTCCTGATAATACTGGGCCAAATTAGTATTGTCAGCCTTTTGCTCTTCAATGTTCACTGTATTTTCTGTATTGCTTTGCTGAATCATGCTTTCATTTTGTTTAATTTCAAATTCCTACTGTTTCAATTCCTCCATAGTCTTTGGCAGGAATGTATCGAGCCCTGATGTCAACTTAGCATGATCTATGCGCATACTTTCATGATTTGACTACCTACTCTGCAATCCTGAGCGCATTTGTAACCGCTAAGATGAGTTCTGCAAAATACTCCTTCTATTCTTAGGTGTTTCTTACTCAACAACCAGCTAAGAATGATCTTTTTTCTCGAGTAGAGTTCCTTCTATGCTTGCATTAGCTGTTATATAACCATTATCCTCTTGCTTTTTGTCCATTTCCAACCTAAAATTTGAGGTATTCACTATTTAGATCAAGCTATCTTCAAAAGTCTCATGTTGTCTTTTATCATCATTCTTGGTACTTTTATCATTTTGGGCATGATTTGTAGCCTCAGAAACTGTTCTTATATCTATCTACTTAGACATGCGCTGCTATTGTTTTTTGCCTGGTTAGGGTGTATCATCTTTCATCTATTCTGAAGATTGAAAGGAATAGTTCTTGAGATTTTTAGACTAGTTGTGATTCTGATGAGTACTTGGTGTGTTCTCCATTATTTCATCAACAGATGCTTGCTAGATCAACTTCTTAGTAGAATCTAAATTCTTGTTAATTTGCAAATGCTCTAGGGATAATTGACTAATTTAATTCTCTACAACTTGATAATTTCTACTTTGCTCATCCTTCTTAGAATCTTGACTGCTGATTTGGAATTCTTGAGATTATTGTAACTTCTATTGTGAAGCTTACTAGGGTAAATGCTAGTTTGATGACTTATCAGAGTCTTAAAATGAGTCCTACTGATAAAGTTGTCTTTTACTAAGAAGATCTCTTAACTGTTAAAGCTTTTGAGTGATTCTAGCATTTGAATCATCAATGACTAAAGCCTACTCAAGACATTGAATGGCTTCATGAATATTATCGAGTCTTTCATAGATAAGAGCCATATTTACCAAGACGTTTACTTCATATATTTCCTCTCTGTTCTATCTTGCTAAATCTAAGGCTTTCTCAAAATATTCTAAAGCTTCCTTGTCAGTAATAGAGTTGCTAACAGATGATTTGCATACAGCTAGGTTATAATAAGGGAAGAAACATTCACTATCAATTTCGATTGCGTTTTCGTAGCATTCTATAGCTTCTATTATAGAACCGTTTCTCTTTTAAATTATACCAAGGTTATTGAATAGTCTGATGTCCTCTCTAAATTCATCTTTCATATTATTCAGCATACTTATTGCTTCCTGGCGTTTCCCAAGTTTTTCTAGAGTAACAGCATAATTAGTTTAAGCTTTAATATAATACGATGATTTCATGCTTTACTGAGACTTATCCTCTTTGCATTTATTGATTGCATGTCTATAATAAGTATTTGCTCTTTGAATATCTCCAAGTCTATCATAAATCATCCCAATATTATATAAAGACTTAATGAACTATGGTCTGAACACATCTTAGTATTGCTAATACACAGCAGCATCTTAAGGATTCAAAGACTTCTAATTGTTTATTTATTTGTCTTTCTTTAATGCTCTTTAAAAGAAGTTAATGGCAGAATTTAAGTCTTATTTCTGAGTTAGGAACAATAAGCCCATATTGAAATTAGTTTCGACGTTTTCTGGATCGATTCTCAGCAACTCAGAATAAATAGGCATCAGAAGTTCGAATACCTGGTTATTGATTGACTCACTCAAATTATTCTAACCTTCCCCATCAAAACCAAGTAATCTATACTTAATACAGTATGCAACTGAATTCATTGCATCAACATTTCTACAGTCAATTTCTAGTATTGATCTATAAATTTACTCAGCCTCGTTATAATTTCTATCCTTGAACATAAGAATATCTGCTCTTTAGAAAAGGTCCTCTATCTGATTTATCTGGTTAATATGCTTGTTAGAAAGTGATCTCTTATTACTGTAATCATTTGGTGTTCTTTAAGTAGAATTTATGTATATAAGTGGGGTATTTAGATGGGATTGAGTACTATTATTTGTAAATGACATTATTTATTGTAAATCTGTTACTACTAATTCTTTAATTTGTTTAATTCTAAACAAAAATCCCTTTTGATAGTCTTCTTTGGGGTTTTGGGGTTTTGGGGTTTTGGGG